ATACGTAGAATTTTTAGATAATATTATCTTTTTCTTCTATAAGCTCGCTACATAAGTAATATTAAGCTTTGTGGTTTATAATTGTTTGCTTTACATAATCCAGTTTTTATTCTTAAATCTGTCTTGCAACACCTTGCATTTAATTTAAGGATTAGAAAATCCAAGGGGTATAATATCTGAAGATGGTGGTCTTAACCAGACAGGGATATAAAAAATTAGGTATTTCCCCAACTGATAAAACACCGCAGGCTAATAACAATGCCAATAAGAAACAGTAAAAGCAAACAGAGATACTGCAGTATTTTTTCCCAATTGTTAAAATTACAGATGAAGGAACTGATCAACAATCTGACACAAGTGGGGAATGGTCACTCGGTCACAAACAAATGCTATTTGATCTATATTATGGGAACAAACTCAGGAAATCACCCTGGCCGATAACATTTGCAACAATACTGTCTCATGGGTAGAGGGGAAAGAATCTACATTGAATGTTATAAAAGAAAAATCTTTCCCATTACGTAATTAAAAGTGTACCTAATTTAAGTATAATTCCAAGAGAAAGGATGATTCCCAAACAATTCATAAAACAGATATACATTCCATTAAAATTTATCTGTCTGAATGTAATGGTGTATTAACCACCATTTCTAAACTATTGGTGAAAAGCAATTTCCAGCTTGAAACCAAACAGGCTGATCCCAAGATGGTTATACTTCATGACAGACCTAGAAAAAAGGAAATTAAAATGAGGAAGACTAAGGCAGCTAGGGGTATACAAAAGTCTTGTCATCTCAAATTAAACAAAACAAAGAAATCAAAGAATAAAAAAGAGGACTAACAAACATTATAAATCTTTAGCCAATCAGGTAAAGATGAATTTTAAGAAGTTGTTTACATTGCTAGATGCAGATTCCTTGTTCCGGGTGCAGTACGAGGTGTTGGTTTTGACCTTTAAAGCCCTACATGGCTTGGGTCCATCTTATCTGAGGGACCGCCTCTCCCCGTATGATTCCCCCCCCCGTGTCCTTCGGTCCTCTGGGAGGAACCTGCTGTAGCCTATGAAGACCAGGCTTTTGCAGACCTCCCAGAGGGCCTTCTCTGCAACCGCTCCTAGACTTTGGAATGGCCTGCTGGACGAGAATCCATCTTATCACTACTCTTGCTGCTTTTAAGAAAGCAGTAAAGACGGATCTCTTTCTGCAGGCCTTCCTGGAATAATTGTTGCCTGGTGATAGATGAGTTTTTAAATTTGTTTATACTAATTCCTTGTGTTATTAAGGATGTTTTTTTATTGTTGTATTTTTAACTGTTTTCTAGTTTAATTCTGTTTTAAGAGGATGGGAGGGTGGATTATGGGATGAGGGAATGTTTTAATTTGCTTGTTTTAAAATTGTTGTACCTCGCTCCGATTGCCACGCAGAGGGATGGGCTGTAAATAAAAATTTAAGGTAAAATGTTCAGGTAAAATGTCACTCGATACCAAAATTGGAAAAACAAACTAGTAAAACATGGAATTTGACCTTAATTAAAAATAAACTTGCCATTAGCAATTATTCCAAGGATAAAGGATATCTCAAAAGAACCTGAAGGGAGCACCTGTCTTACGTGATAGGATCTTTAACCAGCAAAACCATCTATCCTTTTGAAATTTTGCAGGTGGAATACCAACTTTATAAA